GAATTCTTGAGTGACCATAATCCCGTCATTGCCTGCTTTGGTAGGAAGCCCCGTGTATGGAAGATTTAATGAAAATTTAACCCGTGGGTTAGGTTAGGTCAGGTTAGGTTAGGTTAGGTTAGGTTAGGTTAGGTTAGGTCAGGTCAGGTTAGGTTAGGTTAAGTTAGGTTAGGTTAGGTTAGGTTTGGACGGAAAGTCTTAACGCAGGAAGTAACCGAGGATTATAGGGGTCACTCTGAAATTCGGAGGTAGCGGTACACGGAGGTGGCGGGACGCGGAGATAGCGGGAGGTAACCCATCTACATGACCTAACTTTAAGTAGCTTTAAATGAGTAGGTAACTTTGTTCTGTATCTGATGCTAAACACGGGTAAAGCGACTAGTATACACATTAGCCTTTGCTATGTTTTTGCTGTTTCACATACAGCTACACATGTAGTCATAGTTCCCAACACAGCGACAACCACGACTGCGGCCATGTCTGAGTTACGATCCCGCGGGAGTGGAATGTGGCCGTTCATCTCCCTCGGGATATTCATGAGAATGTAATTTACTTTGTGAGAAACCATTAAGTACTTTGGCGCCGGATCAGCTGGTGAGCTGACTTTACCATGAATAAAACAACAATTTCAAGCAGTAAACAAAAATCACTCCCTTATCAATAGTTAAATTAGTACTTAATTTTGTTTTCGGTGACTTGACGCAAGACGTATTCTAATACAGTACCTACAATGACACAATTGTAATAAAATATTTTCTCCAAGAGTCAATTTACTTGACGCAATTTCCTGTTTAAAAGCAATATTGGCAAACTGTTTTATGCTTAGTCAACTATTCCTGCTAATATACACTGTTATCCAATCTTAACGCTGTCACTAGTTTATATTGCGTATACTGTTTTTTTCTTGCGCAAGACTCACGATCGAAGACGACGTAAAGTAGTTTTATCTCCAAGGTCTGATCAGCGAGGTGCTGTAGTATCTTACCCTTGAAGCTACCAGCAAGATTTACTCGAATGGTGTGCTTTGTGATATCTAAGATTAGAGGAAAGAAAACTCATAAAATCTACTAGCGAAGATTCTTTTGGGGCGTTAAATACTACGAATAATGCTAAATGCATGCTTAAAATTGAAATTAATCATTGACCTTTTATAATTTTAATACATTTGGGTAAAACACTAACTAAACGAAATGTAGTTTACAACAACATAAAAGTCTAACTTGAAGCTTCGTTTTTTTTTTATCTGGGTCTTTTTATCTCCTTCCAGTCACTGGGTAGCCATCTCACGTAAACGCCGAATACATAGCTCGCATATTCGTCTTTCAATTGAATGTATTACTTGGGCCTACTTGTAAAAACTTGTATTAATTTAATTCTTCTTTTTTTCCAGATCCATGCCGATAGATTGCGTCATAAATTTATATAAAATAAATCATGAACAATATTTACAAAATTTATAACAATTTAAAAACTTGGCGGTTAATCGGATCGGCATGGTGGACATACACTTATCTCATGAGGGGCTCATCCTCCAATTCTTTTAGGAAGTACAGCGGCCTTTTTACTACTGTAGTAGTATCCCTTTCAGTGCCTTATCTAAAGAGTAATTCATCTGTCGCACTCGAGTGGGAGAAGTAGTATTAATTTAAATATTTATTTACAGTAAACATTTAAGTGCGAGCTTGTAATTTCTATTAGTGTTGTTTTCAACGCAACATAAACAACAAAACAACAGAAATGAGTATGACGTTTTTCGATTGCCAGTGACGTCAACTCGTCAAGACAAATTAACAATGTATTAAACTAAACCTTCAGCAAAACTTACGTACAGATCAAAAATGAAATTTTTTCGTCTTCTAGGTCCCACTAGGTATTATATTTTGCTCATCCAGGAGCCCTCCAGGTGCGCCGCAATCTTCGTCGCTCTTATCGCCACAAACTGTTTCATTTTGGATATGAAATACAATACATGATTTCTGTAAATGAAGAACATGCTATTCTATCTTACCTAACAAATCTTGCCAAATGAATTGGGGGAAGCTGAACAATTTGGCTATAACGGAATAAACACAGTATTCCAAATTTATAAAACCCGAGACAGCACAGTACGCTATGTGCTGTGTCTTGTGTGTTCTCAGGTTAGCGCCTGGTGTTTGCACGTCCCACTCCTGTCATATGTCAACAACAATGACTCTTCTCTTGCATGTTTGCTAGCTTCTCCACTCGAGATGACAATTTATGCACAGTTGGTCCAGACTTGCAACCGTTCCTTGCCAGTAGCGTCTCCTTTTGCCCAGGAAGTTAGTTCAAACAGCTGATCAATTATGAATTTTAAATTTGGTGGTAGGTGAGATCAAGAGGAAGGAGAACGATTGCTCAGAATCCTCCAACTTTGGTTCAACTTAGGTCGGGGTACTTTTTTTTACCATCGTATTTTTAATCAGACATGTAAATTTTTTTACGACGGCCCAATCTAAATATAAATATGCCAACCTAACATAATCTTGCCCAACATGCATTTAGGAGTTGAGAATAGCTAACTGGTTCTGATCTAAATTTACTGTGTTCTTTGTTGTACTCCAAGGTTAGGTGTATCTATATTCGATTTTACTGAAACTTTCCTGTTCGCAATGAACGTAATGTTTACGTTTATGTTAATACGTTTGACTGCGAAATTTGGAAAAATCTGATGTCATTTTGGATCAGGCCAGGCTAGAAACTCACGGCCCTATTCTAACCTGACCCAAATTGCAATTATTCTTATGTAGGTTAGATTATGATAGTTATTTCATATAAATATACTGCATACATCTATTATAGGAGTACTCTATAATTATTTTTTATGTGGTTTAAATTTGGAGCAGCTAACGGATTCAGACTCTATTAAAATATTCGTACTGGATATTCTGCGATTGAAATTAAAGAACTATGTTACTGCCGAATTCTGTTTGGAAGATACTGGTGCAGGTCCTATATAAGAAACTATTACAGCACATTTTTTGCTAATCGTAAACCTCAAAGGAGTCTACGGGCATTATTACAAATAATAACTTTTGTCTACTTCTTTGTACAACCGAAAAAAATACCAACTTGACACAAAGGAAAGCTCAGGCTCGGAGCGCACACTTGGCTGCATGAGGGCGAGGCGTGTTTATGAACACGCTGAGGTCATGTCCCAAAGCAGCGCAGAACGCCGTGTGAGTGTACATTCCAAAATAGACACAAAGGCATGCAGGGTGCATTTAGGATTGAGGTCTTTGTATGTAGATTTACTGGTGAGGACGACAAAGACAAACAGTGTTCGCCTCATTTGATAACTGGTTTTGGTGGCATTTGGATCTCAACTACAGTACACTATAAATGCCACCAACACCAGTTATCAAATGAGGCGAACACTGTGGAGATCCATGCAGTGGTCCGAAAAGCAGTGCTCCGAAAGGCACTGGTTCGAAAATTATTTTCTGTCATCATTCGGTGTTATGACTTTCGGAGCAGTGCCTGGATGCACACATTGTTTCGGACCAGTGCCTGGATGCACAAAATGTTTCGAAATAGTGACTTTCGGAGTTGTGACTTTCGAACCAGTGCCTTTCGGACTTGTGACATTCGAAGCAGTGTCTGACCATGTAATTTCTTTTGCACTAGTGCCTTTCGGAGTACTGTACTGACTTTCGGACCACTTCCGCGCTCCCCTGTAGTTGAGAAGCTGAGTGGTCTAACACTCGCCTGAAGGTCACTGGTTCGATCCTGGGATCAGTCTCTCGCATTTTGAGATTATTTGAACTTCGCTGTTCTTGATTTTTGGGCTTTCAATAGATGACCATGGCTAAAGGAGCAGTTCATCCTAGACAACAAAGCTACACAGATAATCTTGCTCCATTCTGCACTCACCTAGCGTTCACATTCTACCAAAATTGTGCTTGTGTCAAAACTAATGTGAGTCTGGGTTACAGTACACTCAACCTATAGCATGTGTCTATCGATAAAGTAACCATTACAAACGATAAATGATCGGTCATATTAAAACCCACTGCGATTCAAAATAAATGAAAGACCGGGATCCTTCAAATGATCAGGTAGACGACTGAATTGCCGTGTAATTAGATTGGAGCGAGCAATTCCGCTTCATTGCTCCATGGTAATTATGTAGGGAATTCCTTACTTCTCAATCCCAGCTGGTATTTAGAGAATCTTTAGTTCCTAGGAGAGAATTTGTAATTTTCTGTTGGTATTTGAATTAACAGGAAAGGTTAGAAACGTAACTCTTTTTTGGTTCAACGATCTCATCAAGCAACGTTTAAGAATGGATCTTTCATAGATACTTTGTTTATTTTGGGAAAACCGTATGTGTACGTAAGGACCTCTACTGGCTTATATATTCAATGCTTAAGGTAACCCCTGTGGGCCCCTTCTCCCAATAATTACCTATCTTAGCATCAAAGACGATCAGAACTAAGCAAATCTTAATAACACCCCAGCATTCAATGACCCCATGTTAGTTGACCACAACAATTGTTGACCACAGACAAAGCTATAGTCTGTGGGACTCGCACTCCATGTGGTCAATGATAATACTCTCCACCGTGCAAGATTCTGTCTCCGCGACAGGTAGTCTACAGACAATACTGGCTGCTTTCCAACACTCCAATGTTTGCGGAATATCTGTTATTGTTACAAAACTCCAAGGTTTGAACCGAGTCCAATCAATGCCAGGATGGAGTATTGTAGAACGTAATAGGTTTTGATAAATATCTCGATCCGGCCCGAAGGACCATAATTTACTTTCGAGACATTCTTGTCCAACTGCTGTAGGTTTCTTTACTATTCAAGCAGCGTTTACCCGTTTACCTTGTGAGTAAAGTACTAGGATTATTGTTAGTTGATCGCCTAAAATATAATTTCATTATAATTTACTATTTTGCTTTCTATCTAACTAACATTGTTGCCTGCAATATTACTAGCTGCATTTTAGTAACATAGGTGTTTTTTGTCTGTTTCAGAAATCGCAAAAGTTAGGTCTAGTTTATTTCAAGTAAATGGGATAAAGAAGGAGCCCTTAATCCTGCCAGAGGCGCAAGGACAAGCAACTACGCTTACAGAAAAAGTCTTCGTACCTGTCAAGGAGCATCCAGATGTAAGTTTTTAAATCATTTTTTCATTTTTTGTTTAGTTTTTGTTGTATTGTAACATTTTGATTACATAAAGAGCAGGTTAATGTAAAGAACATAAGTAGTGTCTTGAAGTGTGCTTCTTGGCTCAAGATACAATCAGAATGCTGATACTGTATAATAATACTGCTTTTTACTTTTATCATTTTATTACGGGTGTACTAGACATTACATTCTCATTTTGAAGTTGTATGCAGTTTTAGAATAGGACTATAAATAAACTCAGTTGATTAAACCACTGACAGATTGCGGTCAGATTTTTGCCCAATACCTCAACTTTCAACTAAGCCAAACTTAAGGAACTTTTTGTTGTAAACTATTATAACGGAAACAAGAGAAAGAATTGTTATTGCAGCACTCGCTGTGAGTTTCTCATTGAACGAAATTATCTTTAAATAAAAATCGGGCAAAAGCTTTTTCTTAGCACATATATTTCTTGATGCGATTTCTACATAAACATCAATAACACAACGCTTCGCCTCAGACCTTTTAGAAATGTAAATCCAAGTAGGCAAATTGAATCTCCTCGCACAATTTTCCCCATACACACTCTTACATACAAAGAAACACTGAGAGTTTTAACTCTGCAAAGTTGGCAGGACGTGTGGTTGTTAATGCAACCACTCACAGCTGTAACAACAGCCAGCTATTAGCACACTAATAGTCAGCTGATCTGCCTTCCATTACATCACTTCCCGACAGCCACTCCTCACTCCTCACTTGACTCTGTCCTCTACTGCGTGGCTTCCTCTGTTATACGACCGTACTAAGGTCAGAGGAAGGTAAAGGTGAGAGTGGGAACGGCTGTTTATTGGTCATGAAACTCGTAAACAATTGCTTTGACAATTGTTGAATCGTTAATGATGTAGTGAACATTAGTTGCTGATTTGTTCAGAAGTTCATGACATCATTCCTTTGATGGGTGAAATAAACAGAAACCACAGTGAGAACTTATACTTGTGCTGATACTCCTTGGATTGGCAAAGTAAACAAAGACACTACAGTAGTGACCAGATCTGATGGTCATTGAACTGAATTGTGAATATGAGTGAATCACTGACAGTTGGCCACACTCTCTATATAGTGTTTGTGCTGTCACTCATTATGTGGTCAAAGTAACAAGAACTTTACTGTAACAAGAACTGAAGTTCATAGAACTATCTTGACAGTAACATTGTACCACTGAAGGTTGTCTAACTCTCTGGTGATTGTGCTGCCACTAATTGAATTGGCAAAGTAAACAAAGACACTACAGTAGTGACAATATGTGATGATAATTTCACAAACTTTACATTTGGCATTATCGATGATTTGAGATGGGGGTACCACCTAGATTTGGTATTTTAACCCGAATTTGAGTGTAGAATGGAGTGTGATGCCTTGTGTATTTTTGTTACCGACTAAGACCACGGAACATTTATTTAGCCCCATGAAGGAACAGCTGGGTCCAGTTTTGAACCGTCTAAAAGCTGCTGACCTTTTTCAGGATCGAAACGGTGACCTTTCAATTAGCCACATTGTGTTTTATCTTTTATCGTACGTTAGACTGCAAAAGTAAACAAAGATGCCACTGTAGTTTGCTCTAGTGCTTGTGTTATCTCGTATTAGATTGACAAAGTAAACAAGGACACAACAGTAGTGAGTGGTGGTCAATGAACTAACTTGACAGTATCAATGTATCAGTGACAGCCTCTAGTCCTCTAGTGCTTGTGCTCTTTCATTGGATTGACAAAGTAAACAAGGACACAACAGTAGTGAGTGGTGGTCAATGAACTAACTTGACAGTATCAATGTATCAGTGACAGCCTCTAGTCCTCTAGTGCTCTTTCATTATATAAACAAAGTAAACAAAGACACCGCAGTAGTGTAACCTAATTTAAACACCTAAATCATACAGAACATTCAATATATGCAAATTATAATTGTTAACGCCGCAAATGTATCTAGAACTTTGTATGTCAGAGTTTGTGGAGGAATCTCTAAACACATGTTATCTTTACCAGCTAAACCAACATCTGTTTAATTATACAACTATGTGTCGCGATTCTGTGCCTGTTGCCAGTTACAATGATGGTAGCATGATAGTACTTGCAATGAGTAGATAATGTTAGAGTAAAATATCAACGAGCAATTAACATATTTATTTGGAGTGTGGTGGTTTATATTAGTAACAATTTATTTCCCTTGAGAAAGGCCTTCGTCTTTTGTGTTTTGTAATATAATTTTAAAATAATTAATCACTAACTTTTAACTGTAATATTTTGTTAAACTTACCTCATCTTCTTCAAACTATTCGGTGATAGTCATAAAAAAAATTAGTATGGAATAATGATAAAAATAATAAATTCATATTTTCCTTTTATCGCTGTGTTTTGCACTAATGTCCTAACAACTACTAAATGACCTAACAACTCGGAATACAATTCATATTCAACATTGAACTTGTTGGTTGTTCATTGAAAAACGATCGAGAAGCATCTTTGATCTTAAAAAATCTAAAGGAATGTATGGGTATTCATAAAGTTCTGCTTGATACAGCGGTCCATGACCTCCTTCAAATGCAAACTGTTTGAGTTAAATAATCCTAACAAGTTTTACTAAATTAGGTACCGTATGTTCATCCTTTCCATTGTGTTTGATTAAATTATGATGTGTAAATATTAGGGTGTAAGACTACCACCCCTTATATTCTCTAATAAGCTTCCAATTTAAGCTTTTTGATTTTCAGTATTCCATCTTGTTCGTTGTTTTTCTTTTTCCCCCCAGAAATTAGGTAACGCTTTTTCTATTGCATGAGTTAACTGTGAGATTTTAAGGAACATTATCAAATTGTAAGAGACCACAGAATTGATGAAAAAGCAAAAGGAAAATAAATTGTTTGTGTATATTAACAGCCCCCTGACCATAGCTTTCAACTTTCGAAAATTTGGAAAATTAGGATTAGGTCCACCCGATGAATATTTTACATTTTTTCATCCAATACGGTTCCCCACGAAGACTATACCTATTTTTTCTATGACTTGCGTAGTAAATCTGAAGGTAGCCTCAAACCAGCCGCGATGTTATCTCAGGGTCGGGCGTTCACCCTGCTAGAGGCTATAGAGGCATTCCCGCAGTCTATAATGGGCAAGGTAACGGGGATGGAAAGTTAGCTAATTCCGTCTTTTGATCAAAACTAATGCTTAAATGGTCATAATTAACAAATGAAGACTTTATATAGACCATAAATCGTGCATTTACTTTAATTGTCAAATGATAAGTGCAAAGTCAACTTCTAGATGAGTCAGACGATCACTGAAGAAAATGTAAATATCATTCTACAGTTTCTTTGTGTTTAACGCCGTTGGAAGTTCGAGTATTCCAACTAGAACCGACCTTTTGGTCAAGCAGGATCTTTATTTGATAGCCAATAACAAAAGGCATCTGGGTCGAGAATCTATTCACTTGGAATCGAGTAACCATCGGATTCTGTCAAACTCTTTAACTGAACAATGATGACGAGACCAAGGTAGTGGGTACGGACAACGTACGAATATTTAAAGTCACACCCCTTTCCAAGTAAATTTAAAGTAAAGGTAGAGAAATAAATTATCATAGAATCGTTCATACTCGAGCGTTGTGGTTTATGAATTGTCCAGCAACCAATGATTGAAGATAGTTTACATTTTTATTAATTTTAGTTACAACTGAAAAGCTCTATGATCTCTGAGGAAGACGTTAATTTAACAGGGCCAAAGTCACGTGTCCTCCTATATGAGGGGGGGATGGTGGGGGTTCAGCGAACTGTGAAAACAAAAACATAAATTGTGTGGAGTAAGTGTGTGTGGTGATAAAAGCATGATGAGTGGGATCTATTCGGGGAGGCCCAGGAATAGCTTCCGCCCACCACTGCCACTGTATCTTCTCCAGTGGTACAATCTACATCTACAGTTTAGACCTGCGAGTCTAGGCCGGGCGCGCACTATCCCGACCACGACCACGACCACGACCAAACGCCCGACCGGTGGTTGTCATTCACCATGCGACCAGAGCACGACCCGACCACGACCCGACCAAGGCAACGAATGTTTTACAAACTTCAGTGTCAAGATGATTGTTGAAGAAGTAGTTGTTATGGTGCATTTGTATTGTAAGTACGTTAAGCGGAAGAAGACACTATACTGGGTATATCCCAACTGTGGTTTTTTAACTGTTAGGTCTGAAAGGGCATTTTGCAACATTTTATGAAGAGCTACGTCAATATGAAGACAGGTTTCAAAAGTGTCAAAATCCTGCGACATTTTACCAAATGAGTCACTTCACAGACCGGTGCAAAAAACTAGTGCTCACCTTTTGATTAGTCTAGGAATACTCGGGGTTGAGTGGTGTACTGGTCGGGTCGGAGGCAAGTCGGGGGTAGTGCGCGTCGTCCCATTACATTGTGTGCTATTTTTGGCTGCAACGACCAGCGGGTCGGGCCCGACCAAACTGGAAAATTTTGGTCGTGCGACCAGGGCCCGACCAGGGTCCGACCAGCCGACCAGTGCGCGCTGTTCCATTTATTCCTATTATAAAACTGGTCGTATCCGACCAGTCGGAGTCGTGGTCGTGGTCGGGATAGTGCGCGCCGGCCCTAAACGTTTAGGAACTTCGAGACTAGCTTGTCTTGTGGCTCGCTCAAACATGAGATTGCAATAGAACAAACTGAAGAAAGCACAGGCAGAGAATATTACAGATTTCATAAAAGAATTAGTTGATTTTGCAAAAACTGGAAGATTATAATGTTTCGTTATCAAAATTGGGAAGTTGGTGATTTGGTCTGTAAAGCCAAGGGAGTGATGTCTTGAGATCATGTCCTTGTCAATACTAAACACACATCGGTACAGTTGTACTTTGCTTGATATTTTCCACACAGGATTTAGGAAACCATGTGGACGGCAATTCAAAGTTAAGAGTCGCCATGAATTTCTTAGATTTTGATTACTTC